TCTTCCTGTTCTGGCTCTGATATCTGCTTTGCTTTTTTTTTTTGTTTTTTTTTTGGTTTTTTTTTTAGGATCCTGTAGTTACCAACGGTCTGTCATGCTTGACGCCTGTCATTGGGAACCTGGGAAACACTTATGCCACAGCTCTGCTGACCTACACCTTCAGTCTGGCTGGAGAGACCACCACTCGATCACAGCTTCTAACTGCCTTAGACAGCCTTGCTATTTCTGAAGGTAAGATTTGCCAGCTGCTCGTTTGAGATGTTCATCAGGGTCTTTGGCATCAACTGTCCCCTCCATCTCATCCTAAGGCACTAAACTCCATTGGTCTCAGACGACATCTGGTGATACTCTGGCGGTGGAGATCAGCTCTTACGTGCTGCTAGCGGTTCTCGCTGTTCAGCCTCTCACAACGGCTGATCTGGGCTATGCTAACCGCATTGTCAACTGGCTCGTGACCCAGCAGAATCCCTATGGAGGCTTCTCCTCCACCCAGGTGCCTATGACTACCAAACATAAGTGCAATTAATTGAGGAGTTTTTAATCTGGTGCTTGTTTTTAGGACACAGTGGTGGCTCTTCATGCCCTGTCTGTGTACGCTGCTCAAGTGTTCAGCTTGGACGGCTCCAGCTCTGTTACCGTACAGTCCTCAGGAGGAGACTCTTACAGCTTCAAAGTGAATCGGGACAACAGGCTGCTGTATCAGGAGAAGCTGCTGAAGAACGTTCCTGGAAAATATAGTGTTAAAGTGTCAGGATCCACCTGTGTGTCTTTACAGGTCTGTATCTTCACCCACTCTATGTATTGTGCACATCCAAGTATAAGTGTTTTTGTTCTACTTGTACTATAGGTTGCGTGTTTCTACAACATCCCAACACCCGTTAAAGTCTCCAAGACGCTGCGTGTCGAAGCGAAGGTGACTGGAGACTGCCAAGCGCGTGTAGCCAATCTCATGTTGAAGTTCACTGTGAAGTGAGTAGCATTGTGTCCTGAAACTGTTTATGACTTCCAAAAATGAAGGGTGTTCTTATCTTGTCAACCTTACATTATTCCCCACTCAGATACGACGGTGTAAAATCAAGCACTAACATGGTTATCGTGGACATTAAACTCCTGTCGGGCTTCACTGCAGATACATCACTGGTTTGTATTTAAGATTTAGAAGTCCCAAGATTCTTTAACCTGCATGAAGTTGGCCCCCAACACAAAATGTCATCAAAATATATATTTTTGCACGTTGGGTGGGGGTGGCAACGTCACACAGGTGATGCAGCTCCTTCAATTTTTAACTGTGTAAATGTTCTTTTCCCCTCAGCTCGGTTCTTCACCCCAAACGTTTGCTCCGCTAGTGGAACGGGTTGATGCTGAAGATGATGGTGTCCTAGTATATCTGAAAGAGGTGAGACTGTACACTTGGTATATTACTAGCTGCCATTTTCTCATACGCTGCTGTTCATCCTTTTGTCTCGCAGGTTCCCAAAGGCGTCCCCATGAGTTACACTCTGCAGCTGAATCAGGTTCTTGCAGTGGAAAATCTCAAGCCTGCAGTCATAAAGGTTTATGACTACTATCAGACAAGTACGCTTTCTAATCGTGCTTTACTCTGGCTGAATTCACTGAGAACGATCTAGTTGATTCTTTTCCTCCTATTTCAGGTGATTCGTTTGAGACCACCTACACATCTCCCTGTTCATGATTTGATTCAGTACTAGCTATAGGATGCTTGACAAATAAAACCACTTTTATAACCAGTTCTGTTGCCTCTTGTTCCTTCTGTGGCGTTTGATTGAATTGGAAGGTTGCAGTGTTCATGAGTGTCTATTTGTCCTGTGACTTCAAATCCTTAACATGGCTCACTCAACAGTTGTGGTTCTTTGAACTTGTGTGTTTTTTTTTTTGTTTTTTTTTAACTATGCATGTTAAATGGTGGCACTTTGCTTGCAGATCAACCTTTATTGGTTAATTTAACGTTTCTTTTCCAACCATGGTAATAAGCTTTTAGTGACTAGGGCTTTTTACACTGACCTTAACCCTGGGTTATTGTCCTTCTTAAAGGGGTCATGAACTAGGAATCCAAATCATCCTTGACTTTGACAGATAAGGGTTTGTTAAACTATTAAATGGTAACTTGCATATTCCAAAAAAAAATAGACTTAATTGCAACAAAGGTCAGAAAACTGTAGTATCTCTCAAAAAAGGAGACTTGAGGTCACAGGTCAGCTGTAGACTGCCTTTGCAGAAGAATGTCAACAATTGTCTACATCTCTGCTCCTTTTGCCTCGCCCACTGGAGCGTTAGTGAATGGTTACTTGAGTGACAGGATCAAAACCATTACCTTCCAAATAGGAAAGGAAAGTGCATTGCAGTGTTTGGTATATTTCATTGGTGATATTTGGTAATTCAGTTGTTTTTATGCAGGCTTTGCAAAAAAAGTACAATCTGGATTTGCCAGCAACAACACTCAAGGAAGTAATTAAACAAGTTCAGGCAATCGTTCAATACTCTATGCACCTTTAAATCAAGACAGTGATTAAAATAACAACTTCACATTTGTCTTAAGATGAAAATAATTTTATTTAAACTGAAATGTATACTGGACACTTGCCAAAACTTGTCTTTATCAATGATTTAACACTGCGCAATGAAGCTTTTACTATATTCACATCGTGTTTGTGTTTTTTTTTATTTAGTGAAAGAATTTGTAAGTAAAAATTGCCTTGCAATGATATCTTTTAATTTAATGTAATCAACAGCCTGTCATCTAAATACTTTAAAAATGTCCTACTTTTTGTTAAACTCGATAGCTGTAATTGTAAAAACATTGTGAAAGCATTTGAGAGATTTCCACATGTAATTGTAGCTTTTTCAAATGTGAACATGTTAGCCAATCACAGCAGTGGGCATTTACACAACTTTGTAACGAGTGGTTATTTCAGTCAAAGTTGCTCTTCTATCAGCTTGATACAGTCGGCCCATTCTCCTCTGACCTCTAGCATCAACAAGGCATTTTCACCCACAGGACTGCCACATACTGGATGTTTTTCCCTTTTCACACCATACTTTGTAAACCCTAGAAATGGTTGTGCGTGAAAATCTCAGTAACTGAGCAGATTGTGAAATACTCAGACCGGCCCGTCTGGCACCAACAATCATGCCACGCTCAAAATTGCTTAAATCACTTTAAATATATTAAATATATTTATATTTAAGTTCAGGAGATTGTCCTGACCAGGACCACACCCCTAAATGCATAGAAGCAACTGCCATGTGATTGGTTGATTAGACAATTGCATTGATGAGAAATTGAAGAGGTGTTACTAATAATCCTTTAGTTTAGTGTAAAGCACATTTGGTTATAATGAATCAACTAAAAGTTCGATTCCACAATGTTCTACTGTTGTGGCACTAGCAGTTCAGGTCTAGCAAGGCAGTTTATCTTCATTGATCCACATGTCCTGCAGAGTGCAAAGTATTGGTTGATTTGCAAGCAGGGTTCACACGGCTGTTTTGTGCAGCAGGGAACTCTGCATCACATCAACGAGATGGCCACCATTCAACCCGAAAGAAGTCATGTAACAATTTCAATAACTCTGAAGCTGTTCAGTTAAGCTAAATAAGCTGCATTGAATCCCTTTAACAATGACGCTTTACAGTACATGTCAGATATGATTGCATATCATTTTCTAGAAATGCTATAGAGATTACATTAACAGGAAATGTTAAAAGCTCTAGTCACAGAACAAAGAATTAAGTTTGATTTATTGTAATTGTAATCATTTTAATAAATCTTTAGAAAAAAAAACTGAGGTGGAGATCTGTTTTTTAACTGTGTACTGCCTGCAGAAACACTGCATCTGTAGGGGCTGCCATTGTTATTTTGTATGGTTTCGCGGGCTATGTGACGTCAAAGCTTTTAACTGGGAGTACATCGATCTAGTACGAGTTCACTGGTGGAAAGTTGTGGGCATGACTGCCGTTGCTCTTTCACAGGTAAAGGTTGAAAAAACACGGCATACAGGTTGCCTGGAATGAGACATTAGTACCCACAATTTTATGAGCCGTTTCCACTCTACATCCTAAACTCCTACCGTCGATGCAACCCACTTCCTTTCTGGCGGGCTGGGTTTGTTTTGCTAGCTAGCTCCGTTGTGCCGACAAAGCACTGATATCGCAATCACAAAGAGGTTAACAATTACATCATGAAGAAGAAAGGTGGTTCGGGAACTGAACGAGTGGTTAGATGGAGAGTGCTACAACCGCAAACCAGCTACAAAGAGGCAATGTCCATGCACTCCATTATTTACACACAAACACACTCACACTCACACAAACAGTATTGTGCTTGATACTTTATACTTTAAACGAAAGTATAAGCCAGCAGCCCCTCATTGACCACCGCTGTAACGTTACACACAGCAGAAAAAAACATCATAAAATCAGGCCTGTTTCTCTTTCGATCTGCCGTCGTTGCTCCTCATTTTATGCATTCGCTCCTCCTTGAGCGACGTGAGACCAGCGTGCGCCACACAGGTGTCTTTCATTATCACTCATGCCACCGGCCTCGCGCCGTCCTCTTACGTCCCTCGCCCTCGATCGCCCTGCTCACCACAGCCAACTAACTAGACATTTTGTGTGAAATGAATTTCTAACTTTGGTGACAGCTAACGTTAGACTTGTAGATGGAAGAGTGATTTCTCTGTTTGCGCTGTTCCAGATTAGTGGGTGTGGCTTGCTGAGCTGTGCTATGTGGGAGTTGTTCTCTTACATACAAATGCACCCCTCAGTTATTTTCTGTCTTTTCTCTATCAAGAGGGCACCAAATTCAAAAAAATAATTTACATTTCTACTACATATATGATCCACTTTAAATAAAGATTAATGTTGAAATGGGTAAAATTCTCCTTTAATTAGCGGGGCTCCGCCCTAAAGACGTCCTGATTGCCTGTGAGTGATGAATCAACCTGTTCTGAATTATTAAGAGCGTTTAAATAACACGGGCATCAGTGCAGCTGGTTTAGAGGTAAGCTACAGTGTGGGTCTCAACAGAAGTGGTGCAGGGTTTGTGAAAGAGACTCTTGATTTCTGTGTAGTCTTGGATGATTGCTCTTCATGGCTGTGAGGGAGATTTGTGTTTGGAGAGGGCTCATTTTAGCCCTTTTCCTCTTTGCTGTTGATGGACAGAAAAGGCCGTAAGTACCATGGGCTTTGAAGTGAACAGAAGTGCCCTAGTGTTTATGATTATGCAGGTTTTTTAGATGGCTAAATAACTCCTCAAAGATATAACTGTTGGATAAGTTAATTTATCATGTTGTACTGTTGTCCATCTAGTGGTCAAAGGATGAAATAGGACCCCCCCCCCCCCCCCCCCTCTCAAAGTGCTTTTCATTATATGTGACACTCACTGCAGAGTCAAATAATGGCTAAACTTGCATACACAGGTTATTCATGGTGACGTTCCCTGCAGTGATTGAATCTGGATCTGATGCCAAATTGTGTGCAAGTCTTTTGAAACCCCAAGAGAGTCTCACAATGACCGTTTCCCTGCTTAATGATGGACATGGGATGACCCAACTTGTGCGGCAGGTTTCTTCAAAGCCATTTCACCACTGCTTTAGTTTCCAGGTCCGTCATTAGATGCAATTTGGAATATAGTATTTTTTTTTTTTTGACTGGTTTGTTGGATGACAAAGCTTTTCTACAGGCTCCTCAAGTAGATGCAGAGTCTGTTCAGACGCTGAAGGTAGAAGTTCAAGGGAAGATCTTTAGAGGGACCGCAGAAAGGAAAGTCATGTTCAGACGTTACTTACCTTTGACCTTCATCCAAACAGACAAACCCATCTACAATCCAGGACAAACGGGTGAGCTGTGAATGATCCTTTGTTTAATATTAAGTGTAGAATGTTTATTACAAGTTCTGATCATGTTCAGATGCATTATGCAATATATGAGTTTGTTTGTTTTTTGCAGTTAATTTCACAGTTGTTTCTATGGATGCCAAATTTGTGCCCGTTGATCAGATGGTGAGGCCTGGCCATGAACGTTGCATGTAAAAATCGGCAATAAATTTGAAGAGTGTTGTACTTTGCAGCATAAAGAACGGCCACAACGGTCATTTTGACCGTTTTGAATTTTATATCTACAATAACTTTGTTGAAAAAAATAATAAAATCCTGCTGGTACCTGACTTTTCCTAAAATTGTCTGTATTTTCATTTAAAATGCTTTTCATATAAATTAAGTTACGTAAACGTAAGGCAAAACAAAAAAAATTAACATATTTACCTATTTCGGCCATAGACGGTCATATTGACCGCACTGAATTTTGCGGTATTTTTTTCGTTAAATATCCCGCGGTTGATCGTGTTCTCTCTCAACTGTCAACAGAAAGGTCCGCCCGGTCACCTCTGTAGCAGTGTTTGCTATATAATAATTTCTACATTAGTTGTTGATCAAAAACAAGCAAATAAAACCGGACTACACTATAATACTTACGTTATCTATAGGCTATTTAGCCTATATATACGAACTTTCATGAGATCGGGCTGATATATTTATATATATTGCAAGGCTAAAATGTCTAAAATGAATGAGCGAATGAGGAGGAACATGACTCGAACCATGGCCCTGGAGATGCTTCAGAACTTGACGAGTGATGATTCGGATGCGGGGAACAATCGGAGGTGGAAAGTGACAGCGACGTTTCCTGGGTGCAAGTTAACATTTCCTCCTCGTCAGAGAGTGATTCAGAGTCAGAGTCCACATCAAGGAAAAAGAGACGGCTGCTATCATCAGACACGGCGGATCCAGATGTTCCGTTCATGTCGGATCATCCTGGTGAGCTCCGCTGCCCTGTCCTGCGCTGTTTGTTTTGCTGCATGGGCTGTTCACTAGTTCTGCTAGTCCTATTATTATTATTAGCCTATTGACCGCTTCGCAAATCGTCACTATATAACATTTTCGTCATAGTTTTTGTCATTCAAACCTAGTTTTTATTTAGTTATCGTCTCGTTTTCATCTTTGAAAAAATGTGGTTGACGAAAATAATTACTACGAAAATTATTCATCAACACTGTAACGGTCAAAATGACCGTTTGTGGCCGTTCTAGTAGTTTTGGAATTCTGGCACTTCTAGTGTTAATGCCTAATATTCCTGTCTTTGTTTTACAGTACGATGTGGTGGTGGAGGTGAGAATTGTTGGCTCCTGTGCAAGTCTTCGAATGGTGCTGATGCAGATCTTTGTACTTTTGCCTTTTTGCACCTTTTCCTGAGCTATTTATTTTTTTAAGTAGGACTATCAGAAGAACCGGATTAGTCAGTGGACGAACATTTCCTCAACGGAGTGGATATTGCAGCTTTCTCACGAGTTGAACCCAGAGGCTCAGATAGGGAAGTACACGCTAAAGGCTTTCATTGGTGAAAGAACAATCTCCCATGTTTTTGAGGTGAAAAAATATGGTATGTCCTTATATATGAAATGTGCAGTAGTTCAATGACAAAACTGGGGTCTTATCTGAAGCATTTTTTTTTCTGGTTTAGTTTTACCAAAGTTTGACGTGACTGTAAACACACCACAGATGTACAGCGTTGGAGATGAGGGACTGAATGTTGAGGCTTGTGCCAAGTGAGTTATCCTTTTATTTTCTTGTTGCCACATTTCTTGTCTTGTGGTTGGTCACTTGATCTTGTTCCTTGTGACCTTTCCCAGATACACATATGGCCAACCTGTACCTGGTCAAGTCTTGGTGGAAGTATGTCGTGAGCTGTTTCCATACGCCGTGGCTCCTGAGTTGACCCGTTGGTGTCTGAATCAAACCGCAGAGGTGTGTGACTCCTGCCTTACAGTTGATGGCTTTTCTTTTGCTTGAGCCTGACTTTAATGTGACCCTTTGTTCTGCTACCAGATGAATGCCACTGGCTGTGCCTCCCTTACCGTCGACACCTCAATGTTTTTCAACACCAAATTTGAAAATAGAATGCAAGACACTTTTCTTGTAAATGTGAACATCACTGAGGAGGGAACAGGTGAGCTATTGGCTGATCTAACCAACAGCACATGTATGGAGAAAGTTGATTTGTTAATTTGTTTTTTTTTTCTCTTTCCCCAGATATAGTGATGTCAAAATCTGCTACAGTGTCCATTACTTTTGAAGTCGGCAAGGTTGCGTTTGTGGACATCCCTGATCATTTTGAACCTGGATCAGTGATTAATGGAAAGGCAAGTAAAAGTTAACTTGTTGCAGAAGCCTTCACATTGGTTCTCTTTCCTAACCTTGATCATTCCCAACAGATCTCAGTGTCTCGTTTCGATGGTACTCCAATTGCAAACAAAGTTGTTTATCTCCTGGATGGGAACAGCTGGCCCAATAAACAGCTGATGGATCTGACCACAAACCAGAAAGGACTAGCCACATTCTCTCTCAACACTGCCAATCTTCCTAAAGCTGCTCTCAATCTTCTGGTACGATTTGCTATTTGTGTTTTGTGAGATTAAGTCTACATTTCTCAAGAAACTGATTCTGTTTGTTCCCCAGGCAAGTGTGACCCCAGCAGTTGTTTATAGTTACAAATCGCCATACTTCACAACAGATTCAAGGGTTGTTCAGCTTCTCCAACCGGGTTCTTTCAGTAACCCATCTAGTGCACTGACTATAGTGACGCTCGAGCAGCCGCTCAAATGTGGTGCTACGTTTCCAGTGACCGTGGAGTATTCTTTTGTTGGAGAGGCTGGTGGCTACAGCACTGACATCATCTTTATGGTGAGTGGACCTCTGCTTTTGTTCTCAATTCCTCTGGCCTGTTTAAGTAACCGTTGTACTTTGTCAGGTCTTGTCCAGAGGAATAATCGTCCTCCATGGATTTCGGACGGTCACAGCGAGGGCTTCTAATACAGTCATGAGCGGCTCAGTGTCGTTCCAGCTGTCTGTCAGTGTCGATATGGCTCCAGTAGTGCAGATTCTGGTTTACTGCGTTCTGCCCAGTGAGAATGTGGTTGTTGGCAGTGCGTCATTTGACACTGAAATGTGTCTCCCAAACCAGGTATGATGTGCACTAGCATCTTTTGGCTTCAAGTGGGGAATAGTGACGTGTCCTACAGCGTGTTTGCGTCTTGTTCCAGGTGTCTCTAAAGTTCTCTCCTGCTACGGCCGTTCCTGCGGAGAAATGTTCTGACGGTCTCTGCTGAAGCAGGATCTCTGTGTGGCATCAGTGCTGTAGATCAGAGCATCCGGATCATAGAGCCAGGAAGACGTCTGTGTGCTAAAATGGTATCCATGTGCAGTTGATTTAAATTTCTTGTTGGTCTTGACATTCATGTTAAATTTTAGAGTTTGAGTAATGCTGGAGTAATTGGACAAACCTATGCTATTATGTGACTGATACAATTTGTGTACATTTAATGCCTAATTCTAAATGTTGATCATAAGATGTCGAATCATGTGACGAACACTTTTTCATGGTCCCAGGTGTTCGACTTTCTCCCAGTGCGATCTTTATCAGGTTACCCAAACAGCATTCTGGAAGAGCCAGAGTGTCTAGGTTTTGGACCCAGCCCACCTTTTGAACCCATTCTAGCTCTTCGTAGAGATCGCCGGGGTTTTTGGATAAATCCTCCCTACATTTCTCCTACGAATCAAGCTTACACAACCTTCATGGTAGAAAACCATTTATGACTATGTAGTTGCTGAATGTGTAGTCACTGACATGAAATCTGTCTTCTGTTTTGGCCCGTCACTCTGACAGAGCATGGGAATTAAGGTAGCAACAAATCTCGACGTGCAAGCCCCTCCGTGCCCGGAGTATCCCAGATTCCCAGAAGGTAGGTCTATGCAGAGGCCATTCTTTCAGTAAAAGCAAATTGTGGTTTTGGATGGATTTTAATCTTAATTTGTATAAATGGAACAAGAGGCAGTTATGAACCCTGTTTATTCTGCAGACAATGACCGTTCTGAGTGGGTGTAATATCACTTATATCTTTCAGAGATGAGATTTCATGGTCTTCCTGTAGACATGGAAATGGCTGCTATGCCTGCAGCTGAAGTGGCTCCGGCTGAAATGGCTCCTTTAAAAGCAGAAAGTGGTGGAATTGACACTAACTCCTTTGAAGTGACAATCAGGACCTACTTCCCAGAAACATGGCTCTGGGAGCTTGCTGAAGTGGGGTTGGTGAACCATGTATTCCTTCTAAAGCTTTTTGCCCATAGATTTTACTTCGTTTCCCTTTTATTGCTCATCTGCTGTCCTTCAGAGACACTGGATCCACACAACTTCCCCTCACTGTTCCTGACACCATCACCACATGGGAGACTGAGGCGTTCTGCCTGTCCTCTAAAGGTTTTGGTCTGGCTCCTCCTGCTCTGCTGACGGTCTTCCAGCCCTTCTTCCTGGAGCTCTCCCTGCCGTACTCCATCATCCGTGGAGAGTCTTTTGAGCTGAAGGCCACGGTCTTCAGCTATCTGTCCAAGTGCATCATGGTCTGCCATGTTTTTCTCTTATAATGGATCTGTATGAAGGTCTTTGTTAGTATCTTTGCTTCATGTGCTGTTTCATTGGCAGGTTAAAGTAACTCCAGCTTCATCCACGGCCTTCACTCTTAAACCATATACTGATCCGTATTCATCCTGTCTTTGTGCCAATGGGAGAAAGACCTTTAAATGGGTTCTCTCAGCTTCAGTTCTTGGTCAGTTTTGCATCCTCTCTCTAAGTTAAGTGTATATTAGGTGGTGCTTACTTCCTGTCTGTCGCTGCAGGAGCCGTCAATGTGACTGTCAATGCTTCAGCTGAACCATCGCAGACTCGATGTGGCACTGAAATCGTGACTGTACCAACGAGAGGACGCATTGATGTTGTCACTCGAAGTCTACTTGTCCTGGTAAGTGTTAACCAGCCTTCTTGGGTTTGATCATTGAGCTGATATTTTACTGATGTTTTGTTTTATTGCTTTTATAGCCTGAAGGAGTTGAACGGACAAACACCCAGAGTTTTCTACTGTGTCCAAAGGGTTTGTTTGCACTCAATGATTCCCAAACACATTCTCTCTGTACAGCCAAACATTAGCCTAGAGTTCACTCTGTACATGCTTGAGAGCTATCATTAGAAAGCATGGCATTTTTCACCCATATGCTGATACCAAACCATGTTTTTCTTCGCTCCCTTACAAAATTGACCAATTCCCAATTGAACAGACTGCATAATATAAAAACTGAATAACTCATTTCCTACCACTCTCTGAATCTCTTATTTAAAAGCCACACTTCTAGTGTCTCTAAAACCGTGCTCTTCCATCTTAATAGTTCTAAATTATGACATGTACTAACTGTTCTGAATTTTTCATTGAGGGCATATGCATTCATGACCTCAAGGCTAGATTATTGTAATGCTCTAAATGGGTTATTTTCCCTGCACGCAAAATGGACCAGCTGTAGTTTTATTTCTTACAGAATCAGGAAATAAGACCTTTTAGCCGGTTCTGTCAATACTGCATTGGCTTCCTACTGTATTAAACAGTTTAAACGTCAATTTAAAAAATTGCTGATTACTTGCAAAGCACTAAATGGTTTAAATCCCCAGTACTTGAGCAAGCTTTTAACACATTTATAGTCATTCACGTCTATTGCAATCTCAAATTCTCTCCAGTTGATAATGCCTAGAATATTAAAATCTTCTGCTGGTGGCAGCTTTTTTTAATATTTGGCACCTAAACAGTAGAACTTCTTACCATTGTCCAGGAAGCAGACACTCTGTCAGTTCAAAGCTAGACTAAAAACGCATCTCTTTAACCTAGCATTCACATGGCACCTTGTCAACTTCTGTAATTCAATGTCAGACTGGCTGCATAGATTAGGTGAGCCAGAACTGGGAACACTTTCTATAAGACCTGATGTACTCATTTCATAAGATTGGTAACTTGTCAATTGTAATGAGGAGACTCCTCTCTAAATGTAAACACTCTTAACTATAAACTGATGCCGTGCACTTTTTTTTTTTTTTTTTTAGTTCACGTTTTAGAATTTGAAATGGGTTCCAAGGTTTTTTTTGTTTTTTGTCGCGCAAAGTTTGCATTCTTGAGCCGCAAGACTGTCCTGCAAATGAATGGCCAGAATGCATTAAGTTCTGTTTTCAGTTAAAACGGTTTCGCCCAAGCGGCCCCTAATTTATCAGCTAAAGATCTTTGCAAAGGAAGTGAATCATGCTAACTTTTACTGGACCATAATTTTAACTGATTGTTTTGGCTTTAAAGCAGCTTTTGAATACTTTAATTTCCTATCACTGTAAATCTGCTTTGAAACTGTCACAGTGTCTGGATGTGTTCCCTTGTTTGTCCACAATGTCCTCCTTCCCCACTGTGTCATTCACTATCTGAAACTGCATTTCCCATCATCCTGTTCTGTCACTTACTGATCATTGCACTCAGCTGTTCCCCAAAATCATTGGATTTTCTGTTCCCTGTGTGTTCGTGACACTATCTGTGTTAAAAGTTGTATATAAATGAAGTTGAGTTGACTAGAGCTCAATACTGATCCCTTCTTTTCGGTCTGCAGGAAACATTCTTTCTGAAGATGTGACTCTGATGTTTCCAACAAACGTGATTGAAACTGAGCATCTGACCAATCCTTCAGTCCTTGGTAAAATGTGTCATTCAGTAGAAGCTGCCGGGTAATATTAGCAGAATAACTTTTTTCTGATGTGGGTTTTATGCTTGACCTCTTGTAGGGGACATAATGGGTCGTGCACTGAAGAATCTGGATCGGTTATTACAGATGCCGTATGGCTGTGGAGAACAGAACATGATTATTCTTGCTCCCAACATTTACATCCTACTGTACCTTGAAGTAACGGGACAACTCACCGCACCCATCCGAGAGACTGCCACAGGCTTCCTTAAAAGTGGTATGGAAAATCTACTTTATACTGTATGTGGGAGACTAAATTCCAAGAAAGTTTAGTCCTTCTCTTCCCTTTGGAGTGCCAGACAGTCTAACTTCCTGACCAATTTACATGTGGATTTTGACTTACTAGGGTACCAAAGACAACTGAACTACAGACACAACGATGGTTCTTACAGCACCTTTGGTAATGATGAATCAAATACATGGTGAGTTTCACACTGTTCTTTTGTGTATAATCTGTGGCACCAATTTTTTTCAGTTTGTTCAGTTTGTGACCTCTTTTCCTTGGCCAGGTTGACTGCCTTTGTCATGAGGTCTTTTGGTCTAGCGAGGCAGTTTATCTTCATTGATCCACATGTCCTGCAGAGTGCAAAGGATTGGTTGATCCGCAAACAGGGTTCAGATGGTTGTTTCATTCAGCAGGGAACTCTGTACCATAGTGAAATGAAGGTGCATCTCATGTTTGTGAAACTATGCTAATGGCCAACTGACATGGTGTGTGACCTTTCTTAATGATTTGTGTTTGTATGGTTTTAGGGTGGAGTTGGTGATGGTGTGACCATGACTGCCTACATTGTTGCATCGCTGCTGGAACTAGGTGTCCCCACCATGGTAAAAACATCTGCTGTAGTTCTGAGTTCCTTAAGCATCCAGATGACCTTCCTGTTCAGGCTGTCTAATGTTTGATTGGTGTATCAGGATCCGGTAATTACCAATGGTCTGTCATGCTTGAGGCCTGTCGTTGGGAACCTGGTAAACACTTATGTAACTGCTCTGCTCGCCTACACCTTCAGTCTGGCTGGAGAGACCACCACTCGATCACAGCTTTTAACTTCCTTGGACAACCTTGCCATTTCTAATGGTGAGATATACCAGCCTCTTGTTGTTCATCAGGGTCCTTGGCTTTAACTCCCCTCTCCCTCTTTATCTAAGGTACTAATCTCCATTGGTCTCAGACGACATCTGGTGATACTCTGGCGGTGGAGATCAGCTCTTACGTGCTGCTAGCAGTTCTCGCTGTTCAGCCTCTCACAACGGCTAATCTGGGCTATGCTAACCGCATTGTCAACTGGCTCGTGACCCAGCAGAATCCCTATGGAGGCTTCTCATCCACCCAGGTGCCTGTGACTACCAGACATGAGTACAATCATTTAAGGATTTTTAATCTTGCTTGTGCTTGTTTTTAGGACACAGTGGTGGCTCTTCATGCCCTGTCTGTGTACGCTGCTCAAGTGTTCAGCTTGGACGGCTCCAGCTCTGTTACCGTACAGTCCTCAGAAGTAGGTGGAGACTCCTACAGCTTCAAAGTGAATCGGGACAACAGGCTGCTGTATCAGGAGAAGCGGCTGAAGAACGTTCCTGGCAAATATACTGTTAAAGTGTCAGGATCCACTTGTGTGTCTGTGCAGGTCCGTATCTTCACCCTATGATTCTGTTATGCATGTCCAAATCTTACTGTGCTTTGTTTGCTATGCACTTATGCTGTAGGTTGCGTGTTTCTACAACATCCCAACACCTGTTAAATCTGCCAAAACGTTGAGTGTCAAAGCAAATGTGAATGGAGACTGCCAACAACTCGGCGCCAATCTCATGTTAAACTTCACAGTGAAGTAAGAACGGCTCTGAATTTGTGTCCTGAAACCAGCAAATGTTTAACAAAGGGAAGCCGTGTTCTTGATCCTGTTGACTAAACCTCAATTTTTCCCTCACCACCCTCATTCAGATACGATGGTGTAAAAGCAAGCACTAACATGGTTGTGGTTGATATTAAGCTCCTGTCAGGGTTCACGGCAGATAAGTCACTGGTTCGTATGTGTTAAAGATTTAGAAAGTCCTAAGATGCTTGATGCTCCATCAGTTGTAATTGTCAAACAATGGTCTCTTCCCCTCAGCTTGAATTATTTGACCCGATAATTGAGCGAGTTGATCTTGAAGATGATCATGTCCTGGTGTATCTAAAAGAGGTGAGACTGTGTACTTGGGTATATTACTAGCTGCCATCTTCTTGAGAGCTGTGTGCATCTCTGCTGTTCATCCTTTTGGTCTCGCAGGTTCCCAAAGGCGTCCCCATGAGTTACACTCTGCAGCTGAATCAGGTTCTTAAAGTGAACAATCTCAAGCCAGCGGTCATACATGTGTATGACTACTATCAGACAAGTATGCTTTCTTCCTAATCATTAATTTCTCTGGCTAAACTCGGTAAATATAATACAAGTCATTCTGTTCCCCTTCAGGTGATTCATTTGAGACCACCTACACGTCCCCCTGTCCATGATCTGATTGACTCATGACTTAAATAAAACCGCTTTTATTCAATCAGTTCTCTTGTTGCCAGTTTTGTTTGTTCATGAGTTAATATTCATCCTGTGATTACAAATGCTTGTAACATGATGGAAATAGTTAAATAAAAAAATAAAATACTGCTTTATTTTGCTTGCAAGCATCCATTCATCAAGGACTGTTGCAGATGTAAATAACCTACAACCATGGCAATTTTACTTCTAAATGAAGGCATTCCATTACGCAGTAGACTAAGATCCAATGTCGACAGTTTTACTATAAAAAAGAAAGCATTAGCTTAACCTTAATTCATCTTGTTCATTAAACAAAAGTTTTATACAGACTACGCATGCTTTTTACTTTAATTTCTGTACCTGAAAATTGTTATGTTCCACTAGTATTTAAGACTTTGGACTACCGGTTACTCAAGCTTTAAGTTGTGGATTGTGTGGAAGCTAATAATTGGGTGACAAATCTTGCATTTAACACAGAAATCATAAACCAGGGCAATAAAAATGAATAACTCTAGTGTCTTATTACAACTAACATTACAAGATGATGTTTAAACTTGCTCTGCTCTTACATGGATGATACTCTGCAGAGTTGTCTGTTTTTATGGTCTTAGTTCTTAATGCCAAACATGTGCTTAGATGAGCTAATGTAGGAAAAAGAAAAATTTAATGTATTAAGTTTTACATTAAATGTAAAAAATTAATTATATATATATGCATATCCTCAATCTATCTTATGCTTGTGAATATGAAATATATGGGCCTTTACTAAAATAAAATGCATGTGAAATTGAAGCAATTCAATTGGAGGTGACTAACACTTCATACACTCATAACAATACTAGGTTAGCTATGGTTATTGCATGATATGTTTGGACTGAAAATAAAACTGTTTGTATACTGTGGGCTACACTGAAAAAGTGTATTGTTGATTTTTTACTTGTTCCAAGAAAGAAACCATGTTAAACATGATTTTTTTTTATTTAAATTGAGATGTTTTCACTTCTTTCCAAGTAGCAAAGTTGCATTCAAATGTCATGTTTTTGACATTTTTAAATCCCACATAGCAAGCAACCATCAAATCAATGTTAATGGGTCAACATAAGTAATTTCATTTTACAAAGTCATAATTTTTTGAATGACATTTGGTTGTGTGTGTGTATGACCTAATATGTGCTAATGACTCTTTTTTTTTTTTTTTGTTCTCCACAAAAATAAATGGATTGGCTAAAGGAGATGTCTTATAATAATAATATATATATATTTTTTATATATAAATAATTTGAAATTTATAAATGACGAGACACCAAATAGGGTATTTATCTGCACTGATGACGGCAGCGATGATGAAGTATCGGCAACGGGTTGTTTTAGCACTTTATCCTCAGGCAATGGAAAAGTCTAGCCATGCCAGACCTACATCAAGATGTTAGTTTGGGAATTCATCATTGATGGGGCTCAATCCGAGGGGCGGGATGAACGGTAGAAGGTCTCCGACCATCGCCAACTCTGTCCTCATTATTTAAGCCCACCCGCCGACTCTAATACAAGATGTGATTGGGCCCGTCCTAAGTTGGGTTTTTACAGCTAAAGACGTCTAATGAGAGTTGCTAGACCCCCACTGGCAGCGAAATGATTTTTGCTGCCGCTAGAGTGTGTCTAGATTTCTAGGCTAGGAAAAGTCTTGAGGGTGGAGCAATTCAAAAGGATTAAATAATTTCTTTATTTCCGAGGATAGCTACCTGAGATGAACCATCTCATTTTCGAGGGTGTCCCTACAGTACAAATAAACCAACATCATAATAGAAAATCATAATTAAAAGAAATAAAACACAGGAACAAACATTTAGATACATTCATATACATATACATATATATATATACAGTACTGTGCAGAAGTCTTAGGTCGTTTTCTGTGATAAAAAACGGGGTTTTCGTGTAAACGAGGGCAAAACGCAGAGAAATATCTGTGTTTTCCCATCGTGTAAACGGGGCCTGAATCAATACCAGATAGAACTCCTAATTAGCAGACTAAATTAATTCCAGGTGATGGTTAATCAATTAAATTAACTAAACGAACGTGTTTTCTGACAATTGAGAGTTTAAATATCCCTTGCCTTCAGTGCAGATGATTGAGAGAAGCAGCCACTACAAACAGTGGTAGACTATCACAAGAGAAGTCCTCTGGAAAACACTTTTGATTTTGGGTTTGGTTTTGGATGATTTTTCCTCATGGCTGTGAGGGAGACTAGTTTTTGGAAAGGGGTTCATTTTAGCCCTTTTCCTCTTTGCTGTTGATGGACCAGAAACCAGGGCCGTAAGTGCTGTTATGTGGGGGATTTACTCAACTTTATAGATGGTGACAATGAGCTTTGTGGACTTATTGAAGCATTGCAAAAGAGCACTACTCTTCATTTGATGTTATCCCAGTGATAAAATGGATGTTTTGTGGTTTCTGAAACTATACTCTTTTATATTTTTCCACAGGTTTATTCATGGTGACGTTCCCTGCACTGATTGAGTCTGGATCTGAGGCCAAATTATGCATTACTCTTTTGAAACCCCAAGAGAACCTCACAATTACAGTGTCTCTGATGGATGAGAAAAACAAGACGACTCAACTCGTGCAGCGGGCTTCTTCAACGTCATTTCACCGTTGTTTCAGCTTCCAGGTCTTTCATGACTTTTGAGCATTTGTTTATTTTGTTGGTCTGGTTTGGTATCTCCACATGAATTTCGGAGTTTCTCCACAGGCTCCTCGAGTAGATGGAGATTTGGTGCAGAAGCTAAAGGTGGACGTTCAAGGGAAGGTGTTCAGAGCGTCTGAAGAGAGGAAAGTCATGTTTCGACGTTACTTACCTTTGACCTTCATCCAAACAGACAAACCCATCTACAATCCAGGACAAACTGGTGAGCTGTGAATGCCCCTTTGTTTAGAGGTGTAGAAAGTCCAAGACGCTACAAGTTTCGATCATCTTCAAGTGCATTGTTGTAGTTTATTGGTGTCTTCGCAGTGAACTTCAGAGTTGTCACTATGGATACCAGATTTGTGCCTTTTGATCAGATGGTAGGCTCAGATGTTTCAGCATATTGAGTTTTCTAGCCATAAAAAAAACTGCAAATTTAATGCAGATTATTTTATGGCACTATTTTGCACATTTTCAGGCATCAGTGTGTTTTATAAATGTTTAATATTCCTGTCTTTGTCTTTCAGTACAATCTGGTGGTGGTGGAGGTGAGAATTTGCTCTGACTCAAGTCTTTGAATGGAGCCAATGCAGCTTTTTATATATTGCTTTGTTTCTTTGGTTTTTCCTCTGAGCTGATAATTGTTTTTTTTTAGGACAATAATAATAACCGGATCGGTCAGTGGACCAACATTTCCTCAGCGGGTTGGATATTGCAGCTTTCTCATGAGTTGAACCCAGAGGCTCGGATGGGCGTGTACACACTAAAGGCTTTTATTGGTGAACGAACAATCTCCCATGTTTTTGAGGTGAAAAAATATGGTAAGTTTGTGTATAAATTGTGAAGCAGTTCAATGACAGATCTGAGGTCTTGATCCAAGTCATTTGGTTTCTGGTTAAGTTTTGCCCAAGTTTGATGTGACCGTAAACACACCACAGACGTACAGTGTTGGAGATGAGGGACTGAAAGTTGAGGCTTGTGCCAAGTAAGTTAAGCTTTATTTTCTTGTCATTTGGTTGGTCCGTTCTTGATCTTGTTGCTTATGATGTTTCGCAGATACACATATGGCCAACCTGTGCTTGGTCAAGCATTGGTGGAAGTGTGCCGTGAGCCGTATCGATATGTTGGGGTTCCTGATTTGACCCGTCGTTGCCTGAATAAAACTGCGAAGGTTTGGCTCCTGTCTTAAAGTGGAAGGTTTTTCTTTTGCTTGTGCTTGACTTCTTGACTTAAATGTGATTTTTTTTTTTTTTTTTTCTCCTTTGTTCTGCTACCAGATGAATGACACTGGCTGTGCATCCCTTGCCATTGATGCATCCGTGTTTTTCAACACTAAATTTGAACCTAATATGCAAGATACCTTTCTTGTAAATGTGAACGTCACTGAGGTGGGAACAGGTGAGCTATTGGCAATTTAAGCCGAACCCATGGAAATTTAAAGTTTTTATTTTACTTATTGTATCCCTCCAACACTCTCCACCCTGCCCCCCAGATGTAGTGATGTCAAAATCTGCAACAGTGTCCATTACGTTTGAAGTTGGCAAAGTCATGTTAGTGGACCTCCCAGATTACTTTGAAGCAGGATCAATGATTAATGGAAAGGCAAGTAAATGTATTTTCCTTGTTGCAGAAGCCTTCACATTTCTTAACCTTGATCATTCCCAACAGATATCAGTATCTCGTTTCAATGGTACTCCAATTGCAAACAAAGTGGTTTATCTCCTGGATGGCAACAGCTGGCCCAATAAACTGCTGCAGAATCTGACCACAAACCAGAAAGGACTGGCCACATTCTCACTCAACACTGCCAATCTTCCTGAAGCTGCTCTTAATCTTGTGGTACGATTTGCTCTGTTTTGTGAAATGTGGACTTCTCCCAATCTCTTGCATGAAACTAATTCCTTTCATTCCCCAGGCAAGTGTGACTCCAGAGGTTGTTTATAGTTACAAATCGCCATACTTCACTACAGATTCAAGGGTTATTCAGCTTCTCCAATCTGCTTCTCCTGACACCCCATCATTTAGTGAACTGAAAATAGTGAAGCTCCAGCAGCCGCTCAAATGTGGTGCTGTTGTTCCAGTGACCGTGAAGTATTCTTTCGTTGGAGAGGCTGGTGGCTACAGCACTGACATCGTCTATATGGTGATTGAACTTAAATTTATTTGTATTTTCCCCACTGTCCGTTTGTTTAACTTTATGCATTCATTTATCTTAGGTCATGTCCAGAGGAGTGAACGTTCTCCATGGATTTCAGACAGTCACAGCGACAGCTTCTACAGTCATGAGCGGCTCGGTGTCGTTCCAACTGTCTGTCAGTGTCGATATGGCTCCAGTAGTGCAGATTCTGGTCTACTGCGTTC